GTGGATTTTGTTGCCATTGAGCTCAGAACGCGGCTTGTTCAGCGCGTAACTGTTGTAAGTCGGCTTCGTGCTGTTTTCGAAGGTTTTCCATCGCCGCCGCATGTTGTTGCTGCATTAATTCAATTTGTTCGAGTAACCGTCGTAAGGCAGGGTTATCTTCCATAGTGGGTATATTTGGGCGAGGTATGCTTGTTGCTCTGTTGGTCTGGCTTCGGGTTGAAACCATAAGGGTGAAGGAGGAAAAGTTTTATCAGGCCCTCCTTCTAGCGCCAAATGTACTTACACAAATCAGGTCGTCTTCCTAACTCGAATAAGTCGTCTCCCTTGCTGAGCCTGGCCGAGATTGTACGAAGTTGATTGATGAGTTGAATTCCTTCTCTCCGGTCTCCTTGCTCGGGCGTCTCGGATGTACCTGCAAAAAGGACTCTGACGATCAAGTTAATCCTCATCCATTGTGTATTCTCATTCTTATCGTTTACCTGGGTTGTGCGGTTTTTCGATGTAACCGCCATAGCAGTTGTCCTGGCAATTGGGAAAGGACCGAGTATGTCCATACCCCACCACGCAAAGGGTCACGCTGATTGCATTGAGTGTAGTGCTGTTGCGGGTAACTGATGCACGTTGCCAAATTTCTGACAAGCTTGACATTTTTGTACATATGCTTTACAATCCGATCTCATAGTTGGCCAATAGTAGCCAGCTCAGACCACCCTTGCAGCCATGGACCGAGCTCCAGAATGCATGCCACAAATGCCTCTATGGATCTCACCCATTACGTACTCAGCTTGATCCGAGGTAAGGCACTTTAAAAGGGAGACTGAGAATCCCCTTTTGAACAACTCACCAGCTTCGAGTGTGAAATGGCAAGATTTGGCTTTGACCTTTGAAGCCTCAACTTTGTCACTCGGTAAAGTACCGTCTGTGAGATATTGCCAAATGCTTAACATCCAACTGGACTGACCAGGATTGTTAGCCAAAACTGCTACAGAATCATAGCTTGGTGCGCTAATTGTCTCCTGGATAATTGTTTTGTGTTGTCCTGGACGTTTGGTGCTGGCTAACTTGGATAAGAGGTCAGCTCTAACATTGTGTGCTCTTGGGACATGTTCGATCTGAAAATGGTCAAAAGAAGAGGTCAAATGAGATACCATAAGGTTGTACCTTTGCAGCTGAGGTTCTTTTGTTTGGTAGCTTCCTCCGACTTGCTCGGTAATTAATTTGGAATCGCTACAACATCTGAGCTTCTTAACACCAACATCTTTTGTGAGCCTTAAACCTGCAAGTAGAGCTTCATACTCTGCCTGGTTGTTAATAGCTCGGAAATTAAACTTAATTGCAAGTTCAATCATCATATCATCAAGGCCTTCAAGGATAATTCCGGCACCACTACCTTTGGTATTAGACGAGCCATCGACGTGTAAAATCCAACATTGATCCTCCAATGGGACGCTAGGGGTGAGCTCGGCTATGAAATCGGCAAGACATTGTGCTTTCAACGCTCCTCGGCTTTCATACTTGATTCCGTATTCAGATAGTTCGATTGACCAAGCTGTCATCTGACCTGCAAGATCAGGCTTCCGAAGTATCTGTTTGATGGGATAGTCGGTCTTGACCACGATTTGATGACTTTGGAAGTACGGCCGGAGCCGGCGAGCTGAGGTTATCAAGGCTAAGATCAGTTTCTCAATAGTTTGATACCTCTGCTCGGTTGCCTGCAAAACACGACTGATAAAGTAAATGGGAATTTGTTTCTTACCATCGGCTTGCATAAGTGCTGCACTGATTGCATTATCGGCAACAGCAAGGTACAACAAGAGATCAGCACGATCCTGAGATTTGGTTAGTATAGGAGGTGAACTCAGAAAACTTTTGAAACCCGAAAAAGCTTGTTCACATCGGGTATCCCAGCAAAAATCCTTGGGTTTCTTGAGCAAGCTAAAAATAGGCTTGGCCTTTTCTGCCATCTTGGGGATGAACCGAGATAAACTGACGAGCCTGCCCGCCAACCTCTGTACTTCTTTATGATTTTGGGGGCTCCTCATGTTGATCAACGCCTGACACTTGTCTGGATTTGCTTCTATCCCTCGGCAAGTAATCATAAATCCTAAAAATTTCCCACCTTGAACTCCAAAAACACATTTTTCAGGATTTAATCTCATGTTATGCTTTCTGACTTGTTGGAGGATCTCCTCGAGGTCTTGGGCGTGATCTACGGCTGACTTCGTTTTGATGACCATGTCATCAACGCAAACCTCAAGATTACGGCCGATCTGGTCAGCGAAGACCTTGTCCAGTAGTCTTTGATATGTTGCTCCAGCATTCTTAAGTCCAAATGGCATGACATGATAGCAGTAGTTGGCTTGTTCTGTGATAAAAGCAGTGTATTCTTCATCTGGGGGATACATAAGGATCTGGTTATAGCCTGAGTAGGCATCTAGGAAGCTCAGCATAGCATAACCCGAGGCTCCATCCACCAATCTGTCAATACTAGGTAAAGGGTATGCATCTTTTGGACAGACTTTATTCAGATCTGTATAGTCAACACACATACGCCACTTGCCGTTAGATTTCTTGACCATTACGACATTAGCTAGCCAAGTGGTGTATGTAATCTCTCTGATGAATCCTGCATTTAACAATTTTTTGAGTCTCAATTTTAACAGCTTCTCTTCTCTCGCCACCAATCTTTCTTTTCTTTTGAGATATTGGCTTTGCTTCTCTGTAAATGGCTAATTTGTGGCAAATAAAACTGGGGTCTATCCCTGGCATATCTGCACTGCTCCAGGCAAAAAGGTCAGCATTTTCAATTAAAATTGACATGATTTTACCTCGGAGCTCGGGCTCTGTGTGCTTTCCAATTTTGGTGCATTATCCCGGCCTTTTACCAATTTGGAACTCTAGCAAATCATCAACAGGACTAGGTCGGTGGTCGTACATGTCAACTCGGGGATCCAGCTCGACCATCTCGTTCTTATCAACATGGGCCACTGTGGTTGAACTTGTCGTTCTGAGTTGAGGTTTGGTGGGAGTGATCTTGAGACTTTCGGCGTAACATTTCCTTGCTAACTGTTGATTGGCTTTGATAGCTATGATTTGTCCATTGGTCCCCGGGAATTTCATGGTCAAATGAGGTGTAGATACTACAGCTCCCAACTGGTTCAGTGTCGGTCTTCCGATAAGGATGTTGTAAGAAGTGATGGCATCAACTAAGAGATATTTCACCAACACCCTTCTTGAATTCGAAGCTGTACCAAAAGAGGTTAGTAATTCAATAAACTCGCGAGTATGGACTCGCTCACGTGCGAAGCCTACAAGAGGCTCAGAGTGTGGTTGGATCATGCTGTGAGGAATATCAAGCTTTAAGAAAGTTGGCCAATATAGCACATCGGTAGAGCTGCCTTGATCAATTAATGTCTTCTGAACTTCCCAGTTGGCTACTTCGACCGAGATGACCATTGGATCATCTTGGTTTAGGCTTATGCCCTCGTAATCGTTATCAGTGAAGACAATAGGAGGAGTGGGTATGTCTGGCTTAAATTCCAAATTGGAGCAGTTGTCAACATTGTGGACATTGCGGAGATGCCGCTTTCGAGCAGAATTAGAACTTCCTCCTCCAACAAACCCACCAGCAATAGTGTTGATAACGCCACGTATGTTGTTCCCCTCAGAGGATTTATCAGCGTGTTGTGGGTCGGCGCTATTTGCACTTGGTTTGCTTTCCTCATGGGCATTGGTTTGGTGGTAATTGTGGTGCTCAGATCGGCCTTGGTAATTTGGATAGCGCCCTTGATATCGGCCTGGATGTCGGTCGCGTCCTCTACCACGTCCTCTAAAGCCTCCATGAGAAGTCTGTCCGCGTTGGATATATTGCCCGAGGTGACCAGCCTGGATAAGTTCTTCTATGCGATCTTTGAGACTCCAACACTCCTCTATTGTATGCCCGTAATTTCGGTGATAGCGGCAATGCTTGCTCTTGTCGGCATTGGCCGAGTTGTGCGCGAGTGGAGGTAGAGAGATCAAATCTGCATGGTTAGCTTCCTCTAAAATATTAATACGAGGAGCATTAAGAGGGGTATAAAATTCATACCTGGGACCTTGTGACTGACGAGGTCTTTTTGATCTCTGGTCGAAATGAGTTTTGGACTTCTCCCTGGTACTAGACTCCCCTTTGCCAGCGAGGTCATCTCGGATATGGTTACGAAACTCAGCATGCTCTTCCATCTGAATATATCTGGCAGCGCGTGCTCGAAGTTCATCCATGGTGGCTGGTTGGTGTCGGCAAAGACTGTCAACGAAAGGTCCAGGTTTAAGTGCCATCAGCATGGAATGGAGGGCGACTTCAGGATTAAGGTTTCGGATTTTGATGGAAACGTTAGCAAATCGCTCCATAAAATGCCTGAGGGATTCATCATCCTGTTGTCGCAAATTGGACAGCGCTGCCGAGGTGATATGATGAGGTCTGCTGGTAGCGTATTGGGCAGAGAAAAGGCAGACCAAGGTATCGAAATTGTCTACTGATCTGGGTGGTAGTTGTGTGTACCAACTGAGAGCGGCTCCTTTGAGTGAAGTTGGGAACACGCGACACATAATGGCATCGTCATTTGTGTACAGGTTAATCTGGGTAACATACGCATCAATGTGTTCATCGGGATCAGTAGTTCCATCATATCTGTCGATATTTAATGGCTTCCAAGTATTTGGAAGGGGAACTTCCATTATTCCATCAACGAAGGGATGTCGTCGAGTGGAAAGAGGATCATGATCAGGGCGGGTGATGTGGGTTTGCGCGAATCGGTGAGTTCGGCTGGGTTGAGGAGGGTACGTAGGATCAGGATAAGACTGATATTCTTCCGTGGTTGGTGGAGCATGGCTAGCATGGTGAGTGTATGGTGGTGGTGGATTTTGTTGCCATTGAGCTCAGAACGCGGCTTGTTCAGCGCGTAACTGTTGTAAGTCGGCTTCGTGCTGTTTTCGAAGGTTTTCCATCGCCGCCGCATGTTGTTGCTGCATTAATTCAATTTGTTCGAGTAACCGTCGTAAGGCAGGGTTATCTTCCATAGTGGGTATATTTGGGCGAGGTATGCTTGTTGCTCTGTTGGTCTGGCTTCGGGTTGAAACCATAAGGGTGAAGGAGGAAAAGTTTTATCAGGCCCTCCTTCTAGCGCCAAATGTACTTACACAAATCAGGTCGTCTTCCTAACTCGAATAAGTCGTCTCCCTTGCTGAGCCTGGCCGAGATTGTACGAAGTTGATTGATGAGTTGAATTCCTTCTCTCCGGTCTCCTTGCTCGGGCGTCTCGGATGTACCTGCAAAAAGGACTCTGACGATCAAGTTAATCCTCATCCATTGTGTATTCTCATTCTTATCGTTTACCTGGGTTGTGCGGTTTTTCGATGTAACCGCCATAGCAGTTGTCCGAGGTGAGTTAATTATGGTTAGGTCGATCATTATTGGCACGTGTTATATATTTGATGTTGTTTATATATTGAGATATCGGTTTCGTTGATCTCAGGGTTTAAGTCAACTTACACTGGCCGATATGTCATATTAGGATCTCGGTATGACCTCGGTGGACCTCGGTGGTGGTACAACAATATTTAAGCTCAAAATGAAAACAAGATGCGAGAAAAGAAATTTTTATTCCAAGTCCCGACCTACTATAACAAGGATAATTGGAATGTGTATCCTAACACAGGAACAGAAAGTAAAGAGGAAGATGAATTCATCAATCATCACTTTCATGGGACACAGGTTGGCCTGGCCGTAGCCATGGATTAGTTTATAGTATAACTTTCTTTAAATATTTTGATTGATCTGGGTAGGTCACATCAAACAATATTACTTAAATAAAATAAAATAAAATAAAAACTTCAATTCAAACCAACCAAACAGAAAGCATGAGAGTAAAAGGCTATTTCATTTCAACTTTGAAGAACTTTGAAACATGTGGCACACTATTAGAGATTCTTCATTTGTCACCCCTCAAACAGGAAGAACCGAACTCTCGGCAATGATTACTGTTAAGTATTAATGAGAAGGGCAATAAAGTAATTTCATCAGTGCCGGCGCAAAATTATTATCGTAATTTCCCGCGCCATTTGGAAGCGTCAACTCTTGCTATTTACATGCAAATGCAACATCCCGAAATCACGCTTCCAACACTTTCCCATGAAAACGCCAAATGCCTCTCCGGTTTCTAGTCCGTCTCCGAAACCTCGTCAGCACCGAAACCGCGAACCCACTTCACGCTTTCTTCATTCCACTCACAACTCAACGCCACACTCCTCCGAATGCCATTCCCCGCTCCGTCGCAAATCTTTGAGCCCCGCCAAAAGCCACCGTCCCACGGAGGAGCCAGGCCTCACGCGCCACCAACTATGGCCTTCCTCTGCCACCACCAAGCGAAATTCCGGCACCCTCGCGGACCACATCACCCAAGACAGAATCATAGACCACACCAACGGTTCCACAAGACACGTGGCAACAACAACGGCAGAATCACCATCTTCTTCTAAGAAATCCTATAGCATTGTTCCGGGAAGATTGTCATTTGATGAGAACGCTAAACCCTTCTCCTCGCGGAGAAACTCTCTTGAATCAAAACCTGACGCCGAGAGAAAAGGAAGGGCTCGGAGAGGAACTTCGGATTCCGACGTGGCGAACTTGAACGGTGGCGATTCCTCCGTTTTGAAAAGGTTCACGCTGAGAACTGGATCGTACAAGAGTTCCAAGTCTTGGTGGGCTTTGTCTCCGGGGAGGTCCGGGTCACCGGCTATGTCGGTTGAGAGCATGGATAAACCGTTGTCGTTTTCGAGCTTCAAGCACCAACCCACAAGTCCTACCAAGGCCAAAGGGTTTCTCAACATGGGTTTTGATCTCTTCAAGGGTAAGAAAAGTGGGGTTACCTCTTCGCCAAATATTGCTTTTGGAGTTTATAACTCCGAGGTTGCTCATAACCTTCGCTTGCTTGATAATCGTTTCATACAATGGCGGTTTGCTAATGCTAGGGCACACGTTGTCAGTGCAAACATTTCTCACAAGGCTCAGGTATGCATGCATCAATATATTTTAATCACCGCTTTCCACAGTGAATATTTCGCACTTCTATATGTTGTTTATATATGAGTGGGTGTATGCATCACACTTGACTATACCCTCAATATTATCTGATATATAACGAATGAGAAATGAAGAATTGATGGTTTCTTGATTTGTGAATGTGTTTAGAGCAATTTGATATATGTTTGGGATGGTCTTACAAAGTTACGGCACTCTGTTCTGAAAAAGAAGATACAGTTTGTCAGAGAGAAACTTCAAATGAAAATCGCTTTTGTACTGTATTCTCAAGTAAGTTAGTAGTAAATCTCAGTTTATATATTAAGATTTTCTAAACTTATTCAGTGATTTCATTTTCCATCTCATGTGTTGCTTTGGCAGATGAAACTATTGGAAGCTTGGGGTGGTTTGGAAAGGCAACACTTACAAGCAATTACTTCCATCAAGGAGTGTTTGCATTCGGTTGTTTCCAGGGTTCCTCTTTTGGAAGGTGCTAGGGTAGGTAACTAATTAACTAGGTTTGATAGAAACATTCGTTTCAGTAGAGGTAGGAAACGTGTATTGACTAAATAATTCTAATGGAACAGGTGAACATGCAATCAACATCCATTGTTCTACGCCATGCATCTGATCTCACAGCTTCAATCAAGTCAATTTTAATTACATTTTCATCTTCAGTATGTTTGTTAACACTGCTATATTTTTAGTGCTGCTGCTATTATATATGAAGACTTAAATTGAAATCGAAATATTGTTTCATCAGGAGGTTGATAAGATTGCTGCAATGCTATCAGAATTAGCTAAAATTGTTGCACGAGAGAAACAACTGTTAGAAGAGTTCTACGATCTTTTCCAGACCTTATATGTCTTTGAGGTAACTAATTTTTGCATCATCACATAAAGGAGAGAAAGTTGAGCTTTTATCGTTCCATTTAAGTACGCAAAAATAAATATTTTTGTTCAAATTTGTCAAACTATAGATCATTTAATGCTTGTCATGCTTAAATTCAGATTCACTATTAAATTTCATCCTAATCTGTACTCAGATATCTTACATGCTGCTTAGAAATAAAATCCTTTTTTGGCTTATTTATTGTTAATTTTATCATAATATATATGTTGACAGCTTCAAGAAAAAAGTGTTAAGTGCAATCTCGTTCAACTTGAAGGTTGGCAACAAAAATATCAACTGCAGCAATTACCACCGGATATTTCTATTTAGATGATGGATATTCAGAGAAATACAAGTGTTGATTAATTGACGAATTTTGCTAATATTGCAATTGCAACTGTTTACATGGTCCCCGAAACTATAATTGTTATTCTTTTAACAAGCCTGTACCATTAGTTTACATGTTATAATGTCACTTCGCGGTAGCAAATACCAATTTAATAATGTATTACAGAAGAAAAAAAAACGGCCATTTCCCCTTTAAAGATCTCACAAGTTTTCTTTTCATAGTTTGTTCTTCAACATATAATTTATCTTAGTCTACAGTTATTTTTTTTATTCTTTTTATCTCTCAATTTTTTTTTAAATGTGTTTGGCAAATATAATGTGAATTATGATTTTTTTAACACTTCACTTATTATTTTCTTATATCTCGATCTTTTCCATTTTTTTTTATCTCTTTTGTTCTTTTATTTTTATTTTTCTTTAACCTATATATTTCACACCCCCAAGAAAGAAGGGAGTGACATAAATGTTTTCCTTTGATCATTCTCGTGTCAAATCCGTGCAGTTTTGTGCAAATATTGTATTTGCATAGGAAATATTTTGTTTCACTTAAAATTTGGTTGAGTAAAAATATTCAATGATCAATATAAAGAGTATTAGACCATTTAATGACAATTTATTTCGTCTCAGTAAAAAAAAAACTTTAACAGTTGAAATTTAAAAGGTTGATATTAGAGAGTATTTTTAGGTTGAAATTATATTTTATATTTATTTTGATTAAATTATGAGTATTTTAATATAATATTTATTATTGTTTTATTATTATTATTATTATTATTATTATTATTATTATTATTATTATTATTATTAAGTGACAGAAAGAGTTTATAATCAAAATTAAGATGGAGAAATCATATGGATGGGTCAAAGAAAAGTTAAGCTAGGTTTAAATTTTAAAAGAGAGTTGCATTCGCTCTCACTTTTCTTTTACACTTGGAACCAGGAGGAGAGGAAACAGGATGATATCATCCTGAAGGCCCACATTTCTTCACAATTGCTGATAAAGGTAAGGGACAATGATAATTCTGGCTTTAAGATGTAGGGTAACTAATGGGTAATGGGTAGTAAGATTGACCCCCAACCACTGTATCATATGTTGAAAGGGAAAATTTCAATTGTTTTCTGTTCTCATTTATTATTTTTCCATGTGATTCTATTGCTCTTTGTTGATATGAGTTGTGATCATATATGATTAATCTCATGCATTGAGTCATTTTTTATATGAATTGAATTGCTTGAGGGTCTTTGTGAGAACCTTAAGAATATGTGAGTGAATGATCATTATATAAATAATAATTGGAAGTTGTTATTGCATGAAAGTCGTATCTTATGGTGTATTGCATGAGTAAAATAGAGTGTTTTATTGATTGAAATTATAAATGTATGTGTTGGGTTTACTGTTTGCGAATCGCGATTACGTAGGTTTCTAGTTTTTAATATGACACTAGATGTCACTTGTGTCTTACCGGGTGCTAGGATGCCTAAGAGCAGGGTTCACTCCCTGATATGTTTGTGTTGGGTGTTGGGTGTTGAGTGTGGGATATGCCTTGACAGGCGTGGGATTCCAAGGGAGTCCTTGCTGCTATCTCATACATGTTATTTTGAGCATAAGTCATCCTGAGAGTTATGAGTACTTTCTAGACAAGTTGTGCCAGGCGCAAATGAATTTTCACCAGACATCGATTATATATAAAATGATGGTTCCTTATGTTAGGAGTAATTTGAATATTGATGAGTGTGGAGTGAATATGTATGCCTGATAGATTGCTTGAATGAGATACTTGTTTTCTGTTAGCAAATTGTGTATATGGTAAAGTGTATGTATCATTGATTACAATTGTGAATATGACAAATTGTATGTGAGGAAAATTGATGAATGGCAAATTGTTGAGTGTATATATGTGTGTATATATATATATATATATATATATATATATATATATTTTTTTATTTATTATATTTATTTATTTATTTATTTATTTATTTCATGATATAAAGAGTCTTTGTGACATGAATTATATGCACGTAAATTGACAAATAGTTTTATATGCATTGTGCATATCTTGAAATTTGTACCATTTGCATGCAAATTAAGAATCTGTGTCTATTGTATTCCACACTTGCATGTAAATTATTTATAATTGATGTATATTATAAATAAGTGATTGTATGATGGAGATATGTGAGCTATTGATAATGATAACCATTGCTATTGTCATGTTATTATATTAATAATGTATGAATTGTGTTTGACTATTTATCTTTTATTTCATGCCATGAGCTAGAGTGAAAAGTTTTCTCACTCTCTTTTGTTTTCATGTCTTGGCTATATGTATAAGGATCTTGATGAAGCCAGTGATGAGACTTAATCCTTATCTTGAGAGTGCTCTGATAAGATATGTGACATTAAAACTTAGATTAGGGATATTTTGATTTAATTTCTAGTATAAAAATTATGTTTAGTTTTTATATTTTTGCATTAGTATGATTTTTTTTAAAGAGTTTGTTATATGGTACTATTTACCCTATGTTTGGAATTTCACTTAGATTATTTATGCATTGATTTGGATTAATTTATATGTGTGTCAAGAAGTTTTAAATCTATCTACGTATACGGGGTAAAAAGTGTTGGGCAAGCCAATTGGTAAGGATGTTTTGATCCTTTTCGATTCAAAAGCTACACATTCCTTCATCTTTGTTAATTGTGTAGGGAGATTAGGTTTGCCTATGAGTCACTTGTATATTGATCTATCTATTACTACTCTTGTTGTTGTATGTGTTGTTGCTTCCACGGTGTGTGTGAGATGCTCGATAGGGGTTTTTAGTATGAGGTATGGGGTGAATTTGATTTGTTTGTCCATGTTAGAGATCGACATAATCTTAGGAATGGATTGACTATTTGTCAATCGCATTCATATAGATTATCCTTAAAGGAAGTTGGTGTTTTCTCAAGTGGAGAATGAGGTCTTAGTGTCAGCTAGACAAGTTGAGGAATTATTGAGGGGAGGAGCTAAGTGCTTAATTTTGTTGGCTAATATGAGTGTGGAGTCAAAGAAGTTGGTCAATGAGATTGACGTGGTTAGGGATTTTCTAAAGGTGTTTTCGGATGAGGTGTCTAGATTATCTCTTGTGAGATGTTGAGTTCACTATTGATTTGGTGCTAGGTATATGACAAGTATCAATAGCTTCAATAGGATAACTCTAGTTAAGTTGGTAAAATTGAATAAGCACATAGAAGAGTTGTTGGAGAAACAAATGGTGAGACCATCTGTGTCTCTATAGGGTGCTTTAGTGTTGTTGGTTAAGAAGAAGGACAGTGGTGTCTGGTTGTGTGTGGACTATTGGTAATTGAATAAATTGACCATCAAGAACAAATATTTATTGCTTAAGATAAATGACTTGATGGATAAGCTTAAGGAAACATCCGTGTTTGCAAAAATAGATTTGAGACCAAGATATCATCAAATAAGGATAAAGGAAAGTGACATATTAAAGACTACTTTTAAGACTAGGTATGATCACTATGAGTATGTGATTGTATCATTTAGTGTGATCAATGCTTTGACAATTTTCAAGATTATATGAACATGATTTTCATATCATTTTTTGATACATTTTTTGCCAGCTACCTCTTTTCCAATCTAGTTTTTGGATCCAATTTGGCCTTGATCGAGTGACACAGTTGGAGAGAAATATTCAAATGTTCTAATCTTATAAATAAATTGGTTATGTACGTATGTATATGTAATGAATTTTTCTCACTCTAAAAATGGATGATAATGACAAAAATATTAAATAAATAAAAAATTCCTAAAATTATGCAAACTCTACTTCCCTTTTATTATAATCAACTTTGGGCTAAAATTTAACACAATCACTTCCGATTAAAGTCATGCCTTTGCCAATTATTTCTAGAGCATTGCGTTTGCTTTGAAATTTCTGAAGTATGTTGTATTTCTCGGGACAGAGGTTGGGTTGAAGAAAAGGCCCTTGGCACATTAGTTTTAAGCAAAATCTGAGTATTCAAAGACTTGAGTATGCTACTAAGAATCTCAAATTCTTTAGACATTTACCACCTTGAGTTCCTTCAAAGACTTGAGTGTGCTTAAAAAAAGTCCAAGTACAATAAATTTTTATAAATGATACCAAGGCCTAAAATTTAGCAAAGTCGGTGTTCTAATTCTGGCATCAATTAAAATAAGATTAATAATTAAATGATGATTGATCACTTTGTATTTGAATGCAAGGTGCAGTCAGGGTCTGACTTCCTTGTTTTCACTTGAGCACATATTTGGCATAAAGAGAAAGTGGGTGCATTTTAAAAGGGTGTTTTTGATCTTTAAGTTTTATTTTGATGATTTATGTAATAAAAATCTACATTAAACATCAATATAGATTATTGAGATGCATTGTAGTTTAATTAAATAATAGTATCAAAACACGTAAAAAAATTGCACGCAACTGATGCAAGTTTTATTCAGTAAAAGAAACGAAGAACACTATATAGATAAGAAATTAAATAAACTTTCGACAATGCCTCCCAGGAACAAAAATGGAGGCAACCGTAAGTTGCAACAGGGTACATGATTTACAGTGGCGATTGAGGCAACAAATTCCTAGGCAATCAGAAAACCAGAGCCGACCGCATAACAAAATGTAAATAAAAAAAATACAATATGGATTCTACACACTGCAAGGAACAGGGACAATAGTCTTGTATATAGCAATGTTATTCACACAACGCAAGCTAGCATATAGAAACTCATGCAGGTAACGAGATATTTCTCTGGCTTGCAACGTTTGGTTTGATATCCCAAGATAGCACATGCTGCTGTTCCTCGGGATGGATAAAGGGCAAAGAAATCTCACGGATCATCAAGTCGCCACAAAATGGGCATTCACTAGCTATAGCATCATCCAGTTGTTGTCGGAGCTGCACATAATTTGACATAAGTTATTCAGCATAGTTCATATCCCTCAAAATACAAGCATATAACACCACAATGTAAAGTCCACCAAGACTTTATTATTTTTTTTTATAGATATAATCCACTGATTACTTCAAAATTGATAATAAAAAATTAATTTGTATTTGTAAATCGTGACTTCAATTGATTAAAAATTATTTTAACACTGATAGAAATTGATTCTAAAAAGACCAGGTCGACTCTCTGTCCAAGATGCTGACACATAATTTTTTCATGTTTAATGAACTTAATAATTACATATAAGCTTGTCAAAAGAACAATTCCAGCAGCTAAAGTGTACGTAATAGACCACTGAATTATTACATGCTCAATGCAACCGAAATGAAAAACTCAAAAGTCAAAGTTGTCAACAAAAGAAAAGGAATTAAAAAAAAAAAAAGTAGAGATAAAAAATAATGTCATATACAATTTTATTTACATTATATCATTACATTTTTTATAATAAATGTAATTATTTTAATTTTGAGAGAGTATTTTTAAAAGACAAAATTTAGATACAATAAATATCATACTACTAATATTATTCTCTAATTAAAATTAGAATTTTTCATGGATAATATGTATATTTATAATAAATTATTTCATTATATGTAGACATGATAGTAAATTCAGCGCATGTTTAGAATAGAGTTAAAAAAGGTGTATCTTCACTATCCATTTGATTTAACCCTCTAAATTTTATAATATTTAAATATTTTTAAAATAAAAAATTTTAAAAGAAATTTAATAGTTATATTTTTCAAAATAAAGAGTAAATTTTGAAATTTAAAAAATATTTAAATAAAATCCTATCAAAACACACTTTAAATAAATCTTAATAGTCATTATTTTCACCATATTATAGGCATTCACAATGAATATATATATCATCCACGTGATTTTAGAGGAGGTGATTTAGTAAAGAATGGAAAAGAAAGAGAGGGATTATAAGAGAATTAAAAAAAATGTTTGGAAAAGATGATTTAAGTAAATTTGTGAAGGAATTATGGGAGGAATCATATGAATTTATTTTCACTTTTTTAAGTATAAATTTGTGTGAAATTTTTACCAAAAACATATATAAACAAGTCTACTCTTATATTATTGTCTAAATAATTGATTAATAAAAAATAAAAATATAATTATTTAAATAACATATTTTACATGGAAATTTAATTATTTAAAATATAATTTTAAAATAGAATTTCTCTTTATTTTCTATCAAATCAAATTTTCATTTATTCTCTTGCACTACCGTCAATGCTTCACCCTTTTCTAAACAAAGCAGAAAGGTATTGTAGGAAATGAAAAGCAATTTCGTTTTTCTTTCCATGTCTTTGTGCTCTTTCTAAACAACTGTTTCCGTGGGGTCAATTTCTCTCAAACCGAACATGAAAGTACAGTGGACTTCGTAATTTGAGGGATGCAATGACCGAGGATTTTCTTGCACACAGATTCTGCGCAAGTGATGGGATGAAACTAGGAAATTTCTGGATGGATCATAATAACTTAGTCCAAGTCATGTTCGTACGCTAGTAACGCTGCAGGCCTCCTCCTCCTTTCTATCTCATTGCTCCCAACCCAATTTTCTGCTTAATTATTGTATAATTCACTATTAAAATGTGAAAAACATTATAATTTTTTTATAGTTTTCTTTATCAAACTAATCTTGCTTTCAAAGGATCTCATACACGTTGATTCTTCTAGTCAAGGGTGATGATGATTAAAGTGCACATGTTGGTCCAAAGCGATAGTGACGATGAAGGGTATCTACAAAAAGATACTAACGCACAAACGATGATGCATGATCAACCCGTCCAAGGATTGCGATTAGAAAATGTCATTTTTAAAACAGATAACAAGTTGGTTGTTCACATTATTAAGTCAAGCAAGTTTCACAGTTATAAGTTTGGATATATCCTGTGTAAAATACTCATATTTGAAACTACTCAAGTTGTGTTTTTGACTATAAAAAGTTAGTTAGAGTAAAAAACTGTTTTCTCATATTTGAAATAAAAAAATATAAAACTCAAACAACGTATAAAGCTATATTTCGATTTATTTATTTGTTTTGCAAAGAGACTGCTCCTACTGGTATCATCATAATCTTTTTTTATTTATTTTGTTTTGTTTTCTTTTGGATATAGGTGACTTTGACAATGCTTTTGTAGTATGAAACCTGTTTAAATTTGATTCAACTTTACAGTTTAATAAAAAAAAAATGAAAAAGTAAAATCCCTTCAAAATATTTAAAGGCTTATTTTTATTTCGTTGTTAGGATCTAAACATGTTGAAGATTTGAAAAACTTCTAACTGATATGTTAAACTACTTTTCAAAATAGAACTAAATATTCTACAAGGCAACTAACTTTTTCCAAGACACAACGGAGAAGGGATGAGAAAGGGAAGAAAAATCCCCGCTATAAGGCACTTTTGGGCCTCATCAATGAATTTTCCTTAGCTCAAGACTTCTATTGCATAAAGAATAAAAGCATCCGTGAAACAATTGGCTGGTCTTGCAGCATCCCCATAAGACATAACTACAGGTGAAAAATATCACCAATGTAGAACATTAGCAAAGCATGTATTCTAATTAGGTTGCACCTTTTTTGTATTAAAGCAGTGGTAAAGTTGTAACACAACAACCATCATATTAGTTTCACCTGTAGGGCAAGAGCAACTGCTTCTTCATGCATAGACATCATGCTGTATATATGAACACATGCACGCATTCGTTTTTCCTTGAGGCAAAGACGCAAAGCATACTTAGGATCATAGAAGAACTCAGGACCATTTTCTGGTCCTTTCCCAAATTTGCATTGTAGGAAACGTAGAAGTGCACTATCATCTTCCTGAGTAGACAAGAAAAAAGGAAACAAATACATAAATAGGCTCTATTGTCAACATCAGAGATATCCTGAAAGTGTAAATTCCTTCAAATCTAATTAAGATAAACCACTTTTTCCATGCATCAGCTGCAAGAAATTAGACAATTTTAAAACTCAATCAAACCTCAATTGATTTCTCCATGTTATACTTTTAATGAAAAGGGCACATGTTAGAATTCCCATAAAATATCTCCCTGAAGACCCTTGTTCAATTTACATATACAATTTCAATCCTAATCATCACATGTCATTTTTGATGAAAGACAACATAAAGTAAATATGTCTTCATACATCAGTGGAAAAACAGGCAATTTGATTTGATCTTAGGAGATTCAAACATGCTTAAATTGCAGTTCAAATTTGTTATTTCAGTTTTAGTGAATGCGCTATACAGTAAATAGTAGCTCCTGTTTATTTACATGATAAATGAAAAAATAGGTAAACTGATGTTAAATAGTTAAAAGGCGTTCAATTTGGATAAACTTCTTCATAAACACTAGAGAAGAAGAAAATAAGAAGGTAAAATGCATCGAGTTTTTCCATGAGATAAAATTAACCCATGCTTCTTAGCTTTTGGACAAGTTAGATGAGAAGAAATTCTACAAAAGTTAAGTGCATAAGTTGATTTTAGCTTATGAAAGAGCTCAATTCATTTTACCTTATTTTTTTCTTCTATAAGTGCTTATTAAGATATTTATCCAAATGGGACTTAGGATGCATAGTGTGAACTATGCAAAGATTACCAATTCCTTGTGAAAATTGCCCAAGCAAGGATGATTGATAGCATCCATTTGTTCACATGCAGGTAACATGTTAATCTATAAATAATACATGTGTATATATATATATATATATATAAAATATCATAATATAGTAGGAATGTGAAACACCCTTAATAATCACCATATCAGAAGTACATGGATCATGGATGTATAAAGCAACCTGTTTTGCATATAAAGAAAGTAGCAGATTATGAACTCCAGGATCTTCATTATGTAATCGATGAACACAATATTCAAGATATTTAATGACTTCATGTGTCTCATTCCTGCATGTGAAAACAGTTGATTTATAATTCCCAAACAGAATATAAATAAATTGGGAGACACAGAACACACAAAAAAATAATAAAAATATAAATTGATGAACACAATTCTGACTAAAACATTTAACTGATTGAAAATGCAAAAACAAATGTGCAGTACTTTGCATGTGGTTCACTTGAATAACGCATCATTGCAGGAATCAGTTTCCTTGGATTCAGATTCTTTGTAGCTATCCATGATTCCACGGTTTCATATGCATCAAGGGCAATAAGGTCCGGAGCAAACTTATACTGCATACAACATTCAGTATTCTTCATTACTTGTAATATTTCTCACAAGAGATTGAAAGAATACAGTCTCAAACAAAATTAAGAGCTGAAAAAGGTCAGGAAGAAAGAGATACAATAGAGGATAATAGATTATCACATCCCAAATCCTAAAAGTTGAATCATACCTGAAGATCTATAGGTACAGAAGGCTTCTGAATAACTTCCAATGCTTTTTTTGCTTCTCCTTGCTGGAAAAAAAAAACCAGAAAGAACAATGAAAAGGATATATAACCCAATATGAGATAGTATATTTCAATAAAGTAGTAGAGATCTGAAAATGAAGGTCTTTATTAATGACATGGAATGAAACATAAGTGGAACCAGAGAACCTGAATGTAATGGTGAACTACAATCTCATACTGCCCTTTTAAGCTAGCAAAATAAACCAATTCTTCAACCCTTCCATAACTGTTGAAAATTGTAAAGGCAAAGTTATAAAAGATTAATGGCTGTATTTAACTAACTCTAGTCAAACTTATAAATGACAAGGAAATTCTTGGAATTTAGGCTTATGTGCTAACTCAACCCCACAAAATTGGTTCCAACTGATAAATTACTAAGTAAATTGGAGTGCTACTTCTGTTTGGATTGATATGAAAAGCAATAAAATATTATGCTATTGTCATAGGGACTTGGGCATTATGGGGGGTGTCTAAGTTTCACATTAAGTAGCAATGGGTTCTCAATGGAGTACTTAAGTGGCATGGTTCGCCCCCCTTGACAACTAGCTTTTAAGTGAGGGTTCCACTAGAACTTGAGTGCTTATCAATTGGTAGCAGAATTGATTTTTAGTGTCTTGAAAAGGGTTACTTAACGAGGGGCTGACCAGAAAGGCCAAGTGAAGCATGGTAGAATGCAGCCATCTGGATGTCAGCTCTTAGAGGCAGTGTTATGATAGGGACTTGAGTATTATGGGGGCCTAACTCCCACATCAAGTAGTATGGGATGCTCGTGGAGGATGGAGTACTTAACTGATTTGATTCTCCCCTTCCCCCTGACAGCTATCATTTAAGGAAGGATTCCCCAAATGCTGGATGCTTGTCATATTAAAAGACAAAATTTGTAAGTTCTACCCATGGATAAATAACATTTGACAACTTATATTGATGTAGTAGAAGATCTAGAATAGAATTAATGAAAAGTTTATTATGATAACTAACATCTAAAAATCTCAAAAAACTACAAAACTAATCGAACCAAACAAACATGGACCTGGACCCCTACTCTACCCTCAAAGGACATCTTTTATCTCTTACATTTTTTGTTGAATTAAACTGTACAAAATAACTTGTGGTTGGGAGAATTTTGTATACAAAAACTACCAGAACTTTATAAATAAAATTTAAGAAAACAGGTATGCACCAAGAATTAATGTCCAGCCAAAAAACACGCAGATCTGGCATATCTAGTATCAATTACTACCTCTTTAAAAGTTTCATTGTAGTTGCTTCATCCAATACATCCTTGCTGTCACTGAGAAAAGCACGAAACTCTTCAATAGTTGATTGGTACTCTGAGTTGCTTTTCTCCAATGCAGAGTCATCTTCCAAGAGCAGTCGATTTATCTAAAAGATCAAGATAGAAAACCCAAATTAATTTGCATGCAAAAATTTTCTAAATTTACTAAAATTTGTTTTGTAATTGAGATTCACGTTCATAATTTTTTTTTATTTGATATCAAAAGAAGTGTTTTTCTTTTCAAGCCTGTTCAAGTTTTATCCAAAGCTCAAGAATTGACTTAACCCATAATTAACCTAAGACAACACATTCCATAAGAACCCACGAACTAGGTGCAAAAAATTTCTAGAAACTCACAGGACAAAGGTTAAAGAATACAACTGAAGTAGTAACGTAATTGTCTAAAGCCATAGAAGAGTACTGATATCATGTAAAACAGAAGGTTAAGGTTAATGGAATTGTGCATCTAATGCAGACCACAAACACTGTATTTATAATTAGAGAGTATTAAATATAAAGTGTAACATATCCTCATAGTTACAGTTTTATATTTCTAACAGAGAAAAAGGAATAAAAATAGGAAACTAAATTTTCCTTCCAAGTGTTGAGAATGTAGAACCTTGTCCAAGTATAATTCAGTTGTCCAGGTAGATATCATTGTTATTTGGCATTTGTCACTCTTTTCTAAACTATCAAGCTTCCTCAATAAGAAAGTTCTCAAAGCATCCTACAAAAACAAAAAAGAGAAACCAGTGAATTTGTATAAGCACGAGGCAAACATCAAATCCACGAATTTTAAAACTAAATTTAAGATAAACATTTTGCATTTAATCACATAGGAAAACAATAACTGAAAATGATAACTGCGTAGATTGAATGCACATAAGAAAATGCTATGTTGTAACATAAATTTACCATTACAATCAAAGATTTTATTTTTGTTAAACAACATTACAAAATAAATTCTTCTAGAAATACACACACTTACAGACAATGCAGCTGCCTAATGCTTATTAAGGAATAAAAAAGGGCTATCTATTTAGCTTCATAGAGTATTAAGGACCAGCAACATGAAAAGTACCTGTTCACCAGCGCTGATGAACTTCAAAGTGACCTCTTCAAATGATAAAATATAATTGATCTGCAAATCATAATCCTGTCAGATTTTGTTTTTCTTTTGGATTATCAAAACAAAATCCTCAGTGCTACTACTTGAAAACATGATAGGCACATTACTTGAATACAAAACACCAGCATTTATCACCAAATTATCAGATTGAGCAATTCATATAAAAATAATGGTTCTACAGGTCCAAAGTTCAAATTTACAAACAGAACTCAAAATATTCTTCACCTTATCTTCGGCAAGTGACATTTCTCAGTTAAAAAAGTCATGGCAGTTTTAAACTATTACATATTGATCTCCCAGTTTGAAGAAGATTCACAGGGATAAGATGTATAATGATATCTATATATTATGATTTGGGTCATTTTCAGTATCATTGGACTACGATTTGGTGTGAGAGGCCAGTCCACCACTAAAAATTAGCAAATCAAAATCACATGGGGTGGCACAAGTACTTTTACGTAATCAAATGTAACAAAAGCAACAGAAGTTTTTGCTAAAATATATCAAACTAAATACACCAAAATAGTGAACTTAAAAAGAGGAATTACTTTGGCATAGAATGATGCAGCTCTAAAATAATCTTTAGAAGAAAACGCAGCTTCAGCCTGCACCACAAATTATTCCAATCAAACACTAAACTTTGATCTTGAGGCAAAAAAAACTCCATGAATTTATGTCACTGGACAAACTACTTTTTGGGCAAAACAACAAAAGCAATTGAACAGTACCTGCACTAAATATACTTGGTCCCTTTGGAAAGGATCACGACAATTTGCCAAAGCAGCAGCATAATCATTCATGTCAAGATATACTTTCCACATGTCTCGGCCTTCATCATTGATAGAAACCTACTAAATTATCAAATACAGCAGCAGTAGCAATTACAATCAAGCCAGTAAGATCCAGAATTCAGAATGCTGCAGTAGTCAGAGAGCACAAACCTGAAATATGGAGTTTTGATCATATGCATAAAATAAACCAGCTGTGGCATCACTACATAATCCTAGAATACCCTTTGATGCTGAATCAGACGTTTGATCAAACTGAAGTTCCTCAATGATGTTCTCACTAATTCTATTTACAACCTACAAATGTTCAAATAATTTAGCAAGCACACATAAAACTCTTTAAAACTGAGATTGTGCATGGCAGGGGCACAGTGATCTGAATAAAACTATGATACAAAAATGCATACACACCTTGACCTTATTCCTTAAAAGCAACAAGAAATGGAATTCAGACAACACCATTGAACTTGGTTTAACTACTTCAGCTCCTTCAGACAATTTGGAGTAGTCCAAAAGAGCCTTGTTCTCAATAAAATTCTCATTTCCACTTGAAGAGCTGTCAAAAAGTGTGAGAAAGGTGAATAAGTTGCTAAGAAAACAATGTGGAAGGATTCACAAAACAACAATAAGAACCATTCATGAAGTACAAATAGCATGTTCTGGAATGAGGTTTGCAGAATCATGACCCACAAAGTGAACATGTTAAGAATCCATATCCATTATTGATGAAAAAGACAACAAAGTCAAAACATTATCTACTACCTCTGCTGTCCTCCAAAATTTAAGCCACCATGGTAAATACCAGCTCCAGAAAGCCATGCAAAATGTACGGCTCTTCGTTGCTTAAGGAAAAAATGCAATTCACTGGAAGATAAACAACAGAATTAAGTCTTAGAAAGGATAGATTGTACACAAACAAAAAATGTGAAAGAATGTAAAAAATAAAGTAATTTTCAGCCTTTAGACCACTTACATTTTATGTTGATGTTTCCATGATATAAAACTAGATTTATTATTTTAGGGAGACATAGAGCTTACTTGCCTGTTTGGTATGTCACCAGGAAGTTCCATAAAGTGCACCGTACGATCTAAATAACCTGAATAAACCGTCTATGTATAACAATCAGTAAAAATGAAACTTTGAAATATAATGGAGGGTTTAATGAAAAAAGATGGATCCCAAGATTAATCTTCAATAATGTGCTAGAAAAAGACATTGTGGTTCAGAATAGACACACAATATAACAGTAATCACCTGTTCATAAATATTATATACATTACATTTTTTTAGTTCTAAAAGTGGTAGTATGGATAGGTTACTCAAATACTAAAACATAAAGTAGAGAAAGAAAAAATAAAGTGGAAATTTATAGCATTTGACTTACTTCCAGTGAGCCAAAGCCAGTAAAAGAGTAAAGCCGAGTAGGAGTAACGGCCATCACATAATATCTAGTCCCATTAATCAAGCTAGCTGTTTCCATCTAAACAAAAAGGACAAGAACCAGAACAGAAATTGAATGCCTTAGTCACACTTGAAAAAAGAACCTATAACAGTAAACAGCAAAAGATATACCTGCAAGCCCATAAAAGCTTCTGGAAGTTCTGTTAATTCATAGAGAAACTTGATATACTTCTCTTTCTTGTCCTTCTCGTCCACGGCCAGCTCATGAAGTTGACCATTTTCTGTACCAAGGATAACTTCCTTTGTGGAAACTGCATTTAAAAGGTTTAATCAAAACCTCAAGCAGAAATGAATATGAGAAAGTATTGGTTGTAAATAAATCAACAAGCAATGGGCATATCCAAATAAGTGATCAACTAACTACCTTCTGTTATCTGTTGCTTGTTCCATGCAACAGCATTTACAACAAGACCTTTCAGCTTGCTCAAAATTCGTGGCTTGGTCCATTTGGCATGAGTGTAGAAAGTTTCAGCACCTCCAGGACCAATTACAGTGGCAATACAGTGACTCCCTCCAGGATCAACAAAAACCCTATGAATTGACTGGTCCCCAGGACGACCCACAGTGAGATCAATCTCTATACTCCAAACAGACAAGATATTAGACTCAGGATATCAAAACGAAAGAAACAGCTACAAATCCCGGATTAAGCTCAAGCATACACCACTATCAACAATTCTAAAACAAAACATTCGAACAGTGATCCGTATTCTATACTTGTGTTGAATTACAATTAAACCCCGAAATTGACATTCAAAATGTAAAAAAGTTCCTGAATTTGAACACCCATATGAATGGGATGTCAAATGGCAATTCATGGAAAATGCGTATTGTTATCGAAGGAATAAAAAGCTGAAAAATTGAAACTTTACCAAATGAATTGCCAACCCCAAAATCATGCCTGATGACCCATCCTCTGCTGGTTCCAATGACAATGACATCATTCCCAGCAGCCATGCAAGTGATAACTCCATGCCCTTTTGCCGCATATCGTTCCAGAAGGTCCACTGTGAATACCTGCCTCCCTTGATCCATCTATCAATTTTTTTTTTGGTGAAAAAAAAGTGGTCAGCCGACAACTAAGATGTTGAAAACACCCAAAAAAAATTGCAATTTTAAAAACGAAAAAAACTGAAACCTAATGTAGCGGACATTTTTAGAGGCACAAACATTGAAAGGTTAAACCCCCACGTGAAAAACGCCGATTCAATTTGCGCCTCTATGACTAGCTTTAATTTCATGGCAAATTTCGAAAACAAGCTAAAGGTGTAGTGAGGCGAAACACACAAACGAAAGAAAAAAACATAATGAGAAAAATGGGATTTTGCCGTTGCTTTGACACAGTTCAGCTATGAAAAAATTAGGGCTAAACTGCAACACGAACGGCGGCGATTTCGCACGTGTATTGGGGCTTTCGCGTCATAGGTTAATCAGAGAAGCCCGGGAGACATCGTGCAGAGAATTAATCAAAAAAGAAGGAAAATTTTGAACCTACAATGCTACTTCTGTTTGCAACGGCTGATAACAGTGGCAGCCATGGCAGAACCCTACACTGTGGCTTTGCTTCTGAGAAATTGATGCGGCATATGGTTATACATATAGGAGCACAAAACCCTACAATTTTCTATCTCTAACGGATTTTTTAAGATCTATCATCTATCTCTAACGTTTTGAAAAAGTACATGTGTTAACTTTTATTTTGATATTTTGAAAAAGTCTTAAAATATGTATTTCTTTATGTCTTATTTTGGAAATAAAAATATTGAAAATATGTTTGTGTTATAATTTTTTACAAATTAAAAGTTTATAAAATATCTTTCATTGTAAATTTTTAGAATTAAATATTCAAGATTTATATTTTTATTGATTAACCAATATTATATATGTATGTAAGTTTGTTAATATGAGTCAATTCAAATTTTAATTTATGGTTTAATATGTTTTTAGTTTTTTAAACTTGGAATATATATATATATATA